GACTAATCTGAGTAGGTACATAACTGAATACATGAGAATAATAAACATACCTACACGATGAATAAAAACGCATGACTCCAACCTTGGTTACATTTCATTTAAGTATTTCTTCATTAGCGGGGAATCGAACCAGTTATTTGGGTTATTTAACCTGTAAATTCGGATTAAAGTGGCTACGTGGAGGTAAGCACAGTGGCAAAATAGTAGGTTAAGTAGATAAGTTAGGTATTTAGACACGTGTTGTAAATTATTATATTGTGGGATGGCCCGCTAGTTGCGGGCCGCGCGAATTTGTGTTCGCGCGTACATTGACCTTTATCTAGCTCAGGTCAGGTGATATCAATTCAGTCATTCCACTGCTGGTTTTATGTTTCAGTATTTTCATGATATTTTTTATGAAATTATCGTTTCATTTAGCTGTACTAACATGATGGCGCGTGAATAAAGCTAATAAAACCTTGTAAAAAGATGATTTTTTTTTCATCAGGATCGAATTTATTTGTGACCCATGATCAAAGGTATACTTGGTGTTGTCGCCTGTCTTAGTTTTCGGGAGCGTTCCAAAAACACCCTGTATGTAGCAATTCTAAGAATTTCTTGTATGTTAAATGCAAATGTCTAAAAAATCGTTCATCATAATCTAATAAGTCTTTAAATAAAGTATAATACTCTCGATACAATAGCCCTTTTTAAATTAATATTATGAATCTTCATTTTCTTCGAATTTTATTTTCTTCTTCCTCTGCCAATAAGCAGGCTATTACTTTATTTCTTTTCATAGTGATTTTGAGCGGTCAATTTCATTGTACCGTTTCACATCAGTAGTTAGAAAAAACGACAAAAGTTGTTGGTAATACAAAAGATTTGTGTACGGCGCGGACGGTGCGTACGTGTAAATGTGCGAGGCCATCAGTAAAACTCGGCGCGTACTGCGCATACGACGCGTACAGTGCGGACAAATTTGCATTCAGCTTTATTCTCAATTACTACATAAAAACAAATGAAATTAGATTTTTACTTTTTTAAATTAGCATTTACTATTGTTTGTGGCCAGTACACAATATAATTAGAACATGATAAATTAAAAAAAAAAACACGTTACTTTGTCCATGAGTATATATTTTATTCACGATAATTACATTGATAAATTGACAAAAATGCTACTTTGAATCTTAAGCTTACGTTTAAGATTTAAAGTAGCATTTTTGTATTTTTGTAAAAAAAATTCAAACAATTTTCAAACAAGTGCACAGTCCCCCCAATGGTACTAAAAGGCTGCTGTGGTGCACAAGCACCTACAACTATTTGCAATTAAGAATGGAAATAAAGATTTGGCATATCCCTTAGTTTTACATGGAATTAAAAATAGCCTGAATACTTCCTAGTACTGTTCTCCATCAGTTTGTAAAGTTGTATGAAAATGCGCTCATCCTTTCTAAAAGATTAGCACGAAAAGACAATTTTTTTAAAAATGGTAATTTATGTTTTAATATCATGCAATTAATCATCTTGAGTATAATAGAAGCTACATTTCGATATACATACAGCCTCTTCAATTTCATTTATATGTACACACTCAGATTATGAGCCAGTAAACTAATATCGCTCTTAACGTAAGTAATGTAGCCGAAGAAGTTAATGTACTTACGTCAACTTGAAAGGCTTAAATCTATAAATATCTATTTACTCTTACTTAGAAAATAGACTAGTTATGGTATTTTGAGTTTGCGTTTTGAGTTCGCATTCGCACAGCATTGCGTTTACTTGTGCGCACTAGTTTGACGTTAGTTATACTTACTGTTACTTATACGTGTATTAATACTCGCACTCACTAAAAACTAAAAATGATGTAAAAGTGTACATCTTTTACTAAAAATATCACCGAAAAAACTCCAGGTCTAGTGTGCAGTAGATGTGAAAGTCAGTTCATGCTACACCAGTGTGCACGAAGCCACTGGACTCGAGTGGAGTTGTAAATAATGTATCAACAACACGTCACGAAGGTCCTCTTATATGACACCAATTGATTATGATACTGACGAAGAATAATTACTTCCGAGCTTGAATAATAGGTCGTCAGATAACAGTGGTAGTTTAACAGTGGTAGAGCCACGCGGCAGCTTTTGCTGTCGCACGGGTGGGCCGGCTAGAACCAGGGTGGTACCACGACCTCACAGAAAACCAGCATGAAGTATAAGTTTACCCCTGCGTTTCGCTTGGTGAGTGCAGGTGGCCGGAGGCTCTTTTTACTAGAAATGAGGCATTCCATCTTAGTCCTCACGGGTGACAACGCATCTACATTTTGATTTGTAATAGAGGATAGATGTAGATGTCTATGGGCCCCAGCAACCACTTACCATCAGGTGGACTGTGTGCTCGTTTGTCACCCTTATCCTATAAAAAAATACAATAAGTTTATCCATGATATTAGTACCCAAATGCATAAAATTCTCAAAAAAGAATTGGATGGAGTCAAGATCTCATTGGAGTTTTTGGGACATCAAGTTTAAGCAATTGAAGAATTAATAAGGAATCAAGATGCAATAATAAAGGAGTTGGAAACCAAAAGTAATGATTCTCAGAACAAAAACAAATATTTTGAACTCCAAATTGCAGTCATCGAACAAAAAATATGAGAAATAGAGCAGCGAACGCTTCCATGTTCTCTATAAATATCAGATATTACTTCTAACATTAAAGCAAATGAGTTCAATATAACTCAAGAGATTGCGAAGAAGCTCGATCTAGACACTGGCTCAACAGTTTGTGCACGACGACTTCCGACCCGCAGGGAAAATCCAGGCAACATTATAGTGGAAATGAGATCTAAAGACTCTAGGAACCTGTGGAAAGAAGCGGTTAAAAAAACTCAACTTACTCTAAGCGTATTTGATAAAAATATACCGATTGAAAAAGCTGGAATAAGAATCTTTATTCGAGAAGCACAATCTCTGTGTATTACAATCCCAGGAATAGTCTCATGACTTGCAAAAATGGATGAAATGGAAAAATGGATCGATCTACTGCCGTAAAACAGATGACAGTAAAGTGATTATTATCTGTTCGAAACAAGATATATTGAAACTCTCTGAATAATTAACACAGTTAATTTTTTTTAATCTTAATATACATCAAGTTTTTTTATATGAAATTAGATATACCTAAACCTAACAAATATCTTAATTTTTAAATATAAACTATTTTGTAAAACAAATATATACCAATATGCATCTACTATGTATGCATGTCAACATTAGATCATTGATCCACCAGTACATATTTCAGAGGCTGGCATTTCCGACACTATTTGTAATTTGTTTCATATTCCTGGTTATGTAATGTATACACAGCTGGGAACGAATAAAAGGGGAGTCGAAGTTGTTTTATTTCCTAAAGAATACCTAGAATTTAGCATTCATAACACTAAAACATTTAAAGCATTACTGGACCAATTAAAACGGCTTTGAACCTCTCTGTTAAACCTCTTAGTTTATAGACCACCTTCTTGTAGTAAAAGTATTTTTATCACTGAGCTAAACGAAATGCAAAATACTTAATTTTTATCTGGGAATGCAATCATACTCGGGGACATATATATCGACTTCAAAACTGTAAATAGCAGCCGAGATGGTTACACAGATATGTTATCCGAGCACGGCTACAACTGTGGTATTACAGGTTATACCCGAATTGAGCGAAAATTAGACCAAACTAATATGTCGTGTATAGATCACATATTTGTTAAATACGACCAAACCGAGATGTGCACGGCCGCACACGACACTGTACCACCGAGTCACAATTATTGCAAAATTAGTGCTTGTTGCCCCTATACGGTTGCCTGCACTCGTCGAGCTTACTATGATTCTAATTGTTTATAATGAACTGAAAGATGGTCATATACTCCTCGTCGACTACGTCCTCACGAAATTTAGAGTTATAAAAAAGAAAAATTCACATTAGCATATCATAACGCCATTAAATATTATAATAAAACCAAATTTACTAAAATTAAATATGACCTGGATAAATAAAAATATCAATTATTTAAGTCGTAAAGGAGATATAGCTTTTCGCCGATGGAGAAGACATCCAAATAACAATGTTTTGTCTAGAAATTATAAGACAATACGTAATAAATAAAATTAAGTCATTGAGTGTTATAGAAATGCTTATTTAAGGAAATTAATTAATGAAAAAATCTTAGTAAAAAAAAAACTTTGGCTAACTATTAATGTACTATATGGTAGGAGTAGTCCATCAATAGATGGGTTGATATTATCTCGTTTTTAAGCACAAAAAATTGCCTCCATAGGCTATAGCTGATAAGTTTTTGAGTGAGTTTAAAGATGTCGTTAAGAGAGTAATCCCTAGTTGCCATATAAATTTATTAAAATGTAGTTCATGTACCAAGCCAGCTCAAGTTGAGATGCGCTTCAAAGAAGCCAACCCTAAAAATATTTTTCAATCAATTAAGAACCTTAATGCAAAGAAAGCTGGTAGGTTTAGACGGAAGGAATGTATAAGATATCAAACAGATAGATTACAATTTATCCATCCATCCAATCCATCGCTTACCTTATAAACGCAAGCTTCTTAGTTAGTAAGTTTACACATTAAATGAAAAAGTTCACGTCCTAGTAGTATTTATTGATTTTCCCGAGCTTTTGATACGCTTTATCATAAAAAAATTAACAACTAAGCTAGAAAGTACTGGAATCCGAGGTGTAATACTAAACTGGTGCCAAGACTATCTGAAAGATAGAACTTCTAGAGTAAAAATAGATGAATTCCTAAGTAAGCCCGTATCGGTCCCGACAGTTACCGCTCAGGGGTCGGGGATCGGTCCACTCCACTTTCTGGTTTATGTTAACGACATGACTAATGTACTTAAATTAGTCTCGCTCGCGACGTTGTACAAAACAGCTCATTTGTGTTTATGTTTTTCAAAGTTGTTATTTCTACCCCTAGTTTAAAATTATAATAAAAACAACGCAAAAATGCCTAAATGTGACTACAGTGACAAACAAATAGCCAAGATATCTCTTATTCTTGAGTGCAATAAATGCTCAAAAACTGTGCATGGTAACCAGGCCTGCATCGGCCTAACATCTAAACAATTAGCGGCACTGCGCAATACTGAAAATCTGGAATGGACCAGCGTAGATTGTCGCCGTGAATCTCCAAGATACAAATCATTTGCCATACTAGAAGTAGAGGAAGAAGAACTAGTAATGACACAGGGAAATGAAAGCGGATCCAGCGCGATGAAAAAGTTACTAAATGACATATCACTCGAGGTTAAAAAAAGCAGTAAAGAAAGAAATAGGCTTAGTAAACGAAGCTCTCAGTTCTTGCTGTCAAAAATGGATGTAATAATGGATAATTTAGTATGATTAGCGGAAAAATAAAAGAACTGGAAAACAAAAACTTATTTTAATGAACCAAAATAAACATCTACCAATAAAAATCGACGCTATGGAACAATACATCGGAACCCTTGAGAAAAAAAAAGCTTAATAATACATTTGAAGTAGCAGGAGTGCCCGAAATCTAACACGAAAATACGGAAAACATATTGAATACATTAGCTACGAAGATAAATGTTGAGAATAAAGATATAACAAAAGTGAAAAATTGAAGTGGAAAAGTGGAAAGGAGGGTGCAATTCAGGTAACTTTAAAACAGGAAGAACAAGTGGACCAGTGGATACGAGTAACAAGAAACTTCACTTACAGAGGACATTGTTTCCTGTCCAGATCCCGCCGTAACAAGATCAAAGGTTATGATACGACGTGCCCTATCTAGTGCTAATAAAACCCTTCTGTGGTAAGCCAAGCTAAAATTAAGGATACTTATAAATATATTTATAAATATATACTTATAAATAAATATATTTCGACCAGGATGGTAAAATTCTGGTTCGTAGGAATGATAACAATAAGCCTATGGTCATCCAAAACTCTAGTGACATTGACAAAATGGCGATAGAGACGAATGTAAGTCGGTAGTAGAAATTTTTAAGAACTGGGCACCAATTCGGGCGTAACTGAATTTTATGATTTGGAAAATTTGTCTGATTTTAGTACCTATCAACCTAAACATACTCCTCTTTTTAATATTGTACATATTAATATTAGATCTATTATCAAAAACTTTAGCTCGTTACTGCAATCAATAAATCAATCACCAATAGCAATAGACATTATTATTCTAAGTGAAGTAGGAATCTCAATAAATAGCACTCTTTCTTAATTATTTTGTATAGGCGGGTATGAAATATGAAGTGTGCTTCGTGAGCAGCGACGTGGTGGTGGTATTATTATGTACATTGACAAATGCCATAATTTCGAAGTAGCCAAAACTTAAAATTAACCCACTGTGAATCATTAATTGTAAATATCCAATGTTGCCACCACTACACGACTCACATTTACGCTTTATATCGACCACCTAATGAAAGCAAGCACCTTTTTATTAATGAATTTAAAATACTACTATGTAACAATTTAATCAAACCCTCTGATTTGTACCTAATTGGAGACATAAATATAGAACTAAAATCGAAAAATAGCATACGAAATTACTATTTCAGCTGCTTTGCCGAGTGTGCCCTGACGGGAGCGATATCGGATTTTACAAGAATAGAGATCCGAAATGAAAAAATCACGCGGAGTTTTATTGACCATATATTCGCGAGATCTCGCACGTCAAACATCTACGCGGCTGCGCTTGGAACATTAAGGCTTTAACTAGCCTGAATGACCTTGACGAAACGGCGATCGCAGAGATTTTAGCCGATGTCAACACCGTCTAGCAACTACGTTCTGTATTACTTATAAAAGTGCAAAGATTAATAGACTGCAGAGATGACAATTATATAAGTGACATACTGCCTGTTATGCTTGCGCATCACTGAGAATTATGTCGCGGTTACGCATCTTCAATTACATTGTGCTGTAGCTTTGTCCGGTAGGCGTCACGAGCTGTCAAGTGTTCAAGTTTCAAGTACGTAAGAGTTTTAACTGTACATGTTAAATCGTATTTATTTGTGTCGTATTAGTAGATCTGGGTCAAAGCGTTCGCTGTAAATTTTTCCCCGGTTTGATCCCCGACAGCACGAATGAAATTTGTAATTGCAATTTTCATCAATACGCATTGCGCAGCGCGGGGGACATTTCCTTGCCCCAAAACCCTCTCAGAAATAAAAAAGAGTCCTGTACCCAGTAGAGGGACTTGTATAGCCTTTACTTTACTTTACTTTGTAGCAATATTCTTATTCATTTCAGATACAGAAGGGTACCTTATGCTGACAAAAATATCATGTGGAGGCGACGAAAACGTAAAACATCTTTGTATCTGGATAAAACATTCGAGAGATTGTCAGTCATGTCATACGCCACATTTTATATAGAGCGTAGATCATTGCAGATAGGGCAAAATAAAAAATTATACAAAATATTATGGGAACAAAATATACATTTATAGGTATTTTATAATAAAAATAATGAACAAGCTGCAAGGTCCAACTAATAATGTTTCTTGTAAACACAATTGTAAAATTCCTGTTTTAATTTTTACCAATGGTTAATTGATGAAACGTAGTCCAGATCACTTTATATAAAATATATTTAATTAAAATTGACACATGACCTATTTGGCCTTCTACTTACAACTCGGCGGAAATTCGAAAAGAAGATTTTGTCTTTTAACACAAGTATTTTTTACAATTGGCGTGGTTTCGAAAAGCGTTATTAAGTGTCAGCGGTGTATAATCAATTAAATGCTGAACTTTTTTGAAATTTATTTTTTTGTTTATTTTTGTTATATCTTCTTAAAAACTGACGCCATCTCACTATTTTATTATTTGTTTTTTTTTTGTAACGCATAAGGATATATTACACTAAGTTAGAATAACTTGGATAAGTTTGTAATTTTTTTGATTTTATCACAAAATTTCCGCAATAAATTATTACCTTTTCTACAGTGATTCTCTCCTCTTAGTTTCAGCGTGACTGTACGATATTATACTGAGTCACCGTCAGTTACTAAGCGGCCATAAATCATTATATGTATGTATAGACATACATATATAAATTTTTTGATTTTAATATTTATGTTTTTTTGAATTTTGATTGATTTTTTGAAACCTGGTAAAATTATATTTTTCCATACCAATTCATGGGCCTGTGTATAATGCCAGTTATGCTCTTTAGCTGAAGTTATTTTTTTTATGCTCAATTGCAGACAAAACAATATTGATTGCGCATTTCTAAAACAAAATTTTACCTCTTCTCCTTCTAATAATAGCTCCTGCACCTAACACGGCGAAATAGTTAGTACTATCTATAAGAACATTTGCAGAAACAGTTTTTGTTAACAGATATGAGTGTAACATTTTTATCAGCTGCTTTGTTTATAGTGCCTTGAGCAACACTTTGCCGGTTTCTGTTCAGAAAATGATGCTTGCTTTGCAAATATGGATGGCCACTATCATTGAATATAATACCCGCTATGTTACACTTATTTACATAGAAACTTTAATTATCATTTGCATAAAATTCTAAATAGCACTTTTTATACAAGAAAGTAAACTTTTAGATCAGTCCATCTTGTTTTTCACTAATTAAGTGAAAACTAAAATAAACCAATAGGTCCGTGATTTAAAATTATTTGCAACTTTTTATAGAAAAGCATGACCTTATCATAATATAACAGTCAATCACTTAGCCATGGGATAAAACTTTTAAGTGTGTCATTCAAACATTATTGATGATATTCGGGTCATTATACTGGAAAAAGTCTTTTAAATATTTTGTAGTTCAATTGACAATCTTTAGTTTGATTGACCGTGTATATGACTTTTATAAGTCTACGTTATTTTTGATAAAAATTATTATTGCAGATAAAAGCCCTTTCACATTTATTTTAGTCTCGAATTAAATTAATCCAAATGAAAATAAGAACTTTGGCTCTATATAACTGATCCTTAAATGTAAAACACTGACTTGAAATTATATAATCATCAGCAGTTTTAATTCATTGAACTTTTTTAAGACTGTATTGAAACTCTATTGGTAAAAAAAGAACAAATATATATATTATAGTTCTTGATGAAAATTAAGTATGCGCGTTACATCGCATGCCATCAAGAATTTCTAAAGTAATTCTTGGTGTAAAGCTAAGACGTGATAATAACTGTAAACAATACAATAACAAAATAATGTAAACATTTGTAAATACTTGCTTTATAACCTTATAAGTATTATTTGACCGTAATAAAATAAAACAAGGTAGTCTTCGGCATGAAAGTAAAAATAAATATTTTCGATTATTTTTGCAATATCTAACAGCCGGATCAGCGCGCGATTCTGATCGATCTAAAGATGCAAAAATTCAGCAAGCACTGTCAAATTCAATAGAAGTGACAGAAAAAACGGTTCTTGATATAGAAGGGTAAATAAATTATTTAACCTATAAAGTAAAGTCACTTTATTAAAAATCAAAATAGCCCAATAGCTTTATTGACATGAGACACATAAGTGCTTACAATACTTAACATTATTTTACTGAAATCTTAGGAAGTTTTTTTTTTCATAGAATATGGGTTACAAACGAGCATACAGTCCACCTGATGGTAAGTGGTTGCTACGGCCCATAAACATCTACATCTACTCTCGATTACGTATCAAAATTTAGATGCGTTGTCACCCGTGAGGAGTAAGATGTAATGCCTCGTTTCCAGTAAAAAGGTTGTCCGCTTCTCTACATTCACCACACGAAACACAGCAGAGTTAAACTGCTATTTAACATGGTATTCTGTGAGAGCGTGGCCCTTCCCCGGTCGAGATGACCCATTCGTGCTACAACTATACCTACTACTAATATAGCAGCAGCATGCCTCTACCACGTAAGAAAAAATTGACGTTAAATATGTAAGTATTTTCAGAAGCAATTTTGCAATTATTTTCTATTGAGTGAATTTTTGTGGAATCGTGTTTTACAAACCGCCACCTGAAATACGCACAATTTTTTTTCAACAACGACGTGAAATTACAAAACGATCCCCATACATATCATTGTGGCTCTATTCAGCCTCTTAATATGGACATAACTCGGGATTCAGAAATTTTAAAAGTTTTCATGCGTAGATAATAAGAAAAGTATTATTTGCGACCTATTTGTGTGTGTGTGTGTGTGTGTGTGTGTGTGTGTGTGTGTGTGTGTGTATGTATGTGTGAAGATAAGCGTATGAGAATACGTGAAGAGGAATAAAGGGTGAGTACTACTTCGCTTACCTATACGAGGTTGCCACTCGAGAACCTTTCTTCCTATTTTTTATCGGTTTTCCAAGTTATATAGCCAGCCCATTGCCATTTCACTTTAATATTCCGTT